GTCGTTTATGAAGAAATGAAGTGATAATAATTGCATATGTTTCGAGTTTAAATAGCAACAGAAACAGATTTGTATTCATTAGATTAATTATAAAAATGGAGAAGTTTGTCTGACACCAAGAATAAATATCTTATCGAGACGAGATTCTTTCATGGTCTTGACATCATATCGTTGACATATGCGATCAGCACGATGCAATTTGATAGCTAAAAGTAGTCGAATGAATTAAAAGAACGAAGAAAAAACCTACTTCTGTATACGAATATCTATTTTTAATTCAAATATTTATTCCTACGTGATATATTCGTGTTAGTACTTATCTTTACGAAATTTCTAAAGAGAAACTGGCATCAACTAATTGATACCTTATTAGTGGAATGCAGTGTACAGTCTTTGATCGAAATCTAGCATGCCAAAAGACGTCAAAAAAATACACACATCATGTTCTTACATATTTGCGTGAAATACTTACACACGCATTTGAAGAGTATGTACATGACTCAAGTATTTTAATCACTTTATTAGCCTAGAAAAATGAGAACGTATTAGATTTTATCACATTGTTTCATATGAAGGTAAAGTAAAGCTTTTCAATCTATTAATGCAATAATCAGTATCATCCTTGAAAAATACATATTAATTTTGTAAGTAAAATTACTTTGGTTTCTTAGATATGTTCTGCAATATAAATTGATGATTAGTCGTAAAATGGGAATGCAAGCTAGTCAATACTATTACAATTTTCTCTCTATGCGTTTACTCTCGTATTGAAAAGATATTTGTTTAATTCATTTGGAAGTTTTAAATCATGGAAGAAAGAATAATTTTTCTTCTCGTTTTCATGCAACAAATAATGATTATATATACGTATATAATGTGAACTGTCATATCGATTAGATAGATAATTGAAAAATGCAAAAAAGAATTCATTAATAATAAAGAATAATACTATTGTTCAAAAGTATAAATTTGATTCCCAAAAACTAGTTTTAGAAAATGATAAGCACGCTAGATCTTATAAAATTTTGCATTATTCGTAGAGAAACTGAAAGCTAGTTTTGTCTTCTATTGACCATGATGTACGTATCTTCATAAATGATCGTTCACCTATGATGCAAAATATGTTTATGATGAACTTATGTTGAATTACTGGGCAGTATTATTCCTTATATCTATTGATTTTAATAGATACGCCTTAAATGTTAAGTTCTGATGAAAGATTCTTTAGTTAATAATCTTTTTGTTCAATTGTTTGATGAATTAAAAAATTAATATTCAATAATGTACGTCAACTATAAAGGTTTAAAACACTATACAATGAGTTCTAACAGTAGATAATCTAAAGTAATCGATATTTGTTTATTCGAGAAAATTGAATACATAGCATTAAAATTGATACTAAACTTATAGATCAGACTGTAATTTAGCAAAAAGCTTGCGGAATTTTTTTCATTGTATGTGTAGTCATTAATTAATATTAAAACAAAACTATGAAGCCATTTTTATCGGTATCAATACTAATGACACAAATCAAGTGCTAATATCAGAATTGTTTGTAGAATGGTGCATGAGATTATTCAATCCTAAGCATCATATTCTCCTATAGAAGGTCTCATTTGTAAATTATTTTGTTCCAAAAAATATATAGTGTTAACACATTAGTGTTACAATTTTTAATAACAATGGCATTTGATGATTATTATTATTAAGTTCATTGAATTCGATAATTTGTATGTACTCAAGTATGACATTGAACATTCGAAGCATGATCCGACGATAAAATATAAATAGAAAATTAATTGATAGTAAACGAAGAAAGACAAAGGTTTGTTGTTTATGATAGAAATGAATGTATTTTTATGACTTTTACACCATATTTTTGTTTACTGACATTATCTGCCATTATTTCATACTGGTTTAAAGCTTCATTCTCTCGTCTAACAAAATTAGATTGTTTTATGTTATATTTATTCTGTAATATGAAATGATGTCGTCATTATCGAGAAAGATCATTTTTTGTAAGTAAAAAAAAAAAGCTCACGACTGATAGTATTGATTGATTTCATTTTCCTCTGTATGAAATTATGCTTGACAAACAAATTTTTCTTACTCATTTAGGAGAACGAAATGAAATTAAATCAGTGCATTGCATACGACCCTATGATTAGTAGCAATAAATGAATCATATTGAGTGATATTAATAATAGTTTTTATAAGATATTTATATTGTGTCATCATGAGAAAATTCTTTATATTTAGACATTCTATCCCTAATTTCGTGCTTCTACAGGATAAATTGAATCTTGTGATGATCCTTCATAACTGTATAGATTACGTTAAGAATAACGATTCATTACGATGAGCAGTATATTTCAAAACATTTTTCTTTTTTTTTTCTAATGTTTTCTTGCTGCAAAATTTTAATTACATTACATCATATGTAGTTATTGATGACATTTTGTAATAATTATCATTATTAATATACATTTGGCGACATATTAGCGACATTTATGTTTTGTTTTTTGACATAGATTGTAAATAGTGTTTCTGTTTATTTGTCCTTGTTTTGTTTTCTGGTTTTCATAGAACAATAGTGTTCTATTATCTTTGTCTCCTTCCTAGGCCAACATATTTATTTTTATTACATTGTTCTTTTTGTTTTTTGATAGTAGTTTGAAGACGATCTTTCTCTATTCTCGAACATTCAGCGTCATCTATTCAATGACGATTCTCAAATAATGTGTCATACGCATTACATACTATTAGTTAATCGAACTTCCAATTATAAGTATAAAAGAAAAAATAAAAAAAAATAGAATTGATTTAAAAAATGATTACTAATTGAATATTAGACACAAAAATAAGTCAGATAATTTTTGCGTGGACTTTCTTCTTTTTCAATAATATTCTGTTTATTTACTTTTACAGGTCTATCTCACATGACAACATATTGTGTACTTAAAAATAATATTTATGTGTTGTTTTTAAGCCGATGTTCTGAAAATTGAATTTTAGACAAAATTTTGCCTATCAATCTATACCACATTTGTTTTTTTTCTCTAATTTACTTTTGTTAATCTTTTTTTCAATTGATTTTAATTTAATTCATATCACATGCTAATTTCAATTATAAACGCCTACCTATAAGCTTTGGTTGTTTTTGCTGATACTTTTTTTTATTTTCTTCTGAATTTTTTCATTTTGTTTTTTTTTTCAATTATGATGATGTTGGGAAGAATGAGAGGACAGGTGTAGCAGTTGCTTAGAGAACAAACATGTATTCTATAAGGCAAAACAAAATTTTAACAATCAACGGCATCTGTGTATTTACTTCACTGACTCATAAAATGCACAATGACAAATACAAAACGATGAGAATGAAAAGAATTGCTGGTGTTTCATATAAAATGGTGAAACAAAAAGAAAGATCTTCATTCTTTCTACAGCATACATTTTTAACATTTTCTCTGCGTACAGGTTGTATTATGCAAATATTGATAAGCAACATGTCGTAAAGTGAAAAATCTCATTCATCTTATTTCATTTTATTTTTTCCTTTAATGACTTTCAGATTGTCATGTGATGAAATTTCACGCGATTCATTTTAAAATACTATAGATTATGGTTTCGCTTGGCGAATGTCGTTTTCTTAATCGTGCATTAACAATTGATGATATATCGAAAAAACCAAATTGTAAAAATCTTAAATTTAAACGTGCTTTTCAATTTCTTCAATTCCTACTTGTTCAACGTGTTTATGGTATTGATATAACCACATGTCCAGGAGTACGAAAACCATCAAAAGATTCTCAACAAGAACAAGAACAGGAACAACAACAACCACAAAATTATCAAGTTTTTTTAGGTGGTTCATGTAATCCTACTACATGGCGACGGGATCAAGCTATACCTTACTTGCAATCACGTTCAGTTTCTTTTTTTAATCCACAAGTAGCTGATTGGACACCGGATCTTATTGAAATAGAACATCGTGCAAAAGAATTAGCTCCACTTCTATTTTTTGTTATTGATCATGATACTCGAGCATTAGCATCTATTGTTGAAGTATGTTATTTAGCAGCACGTGGAAGAAGTATTATTGTTGTTATGAATCCAATGCCAGATAAATATCACACAAAATTTATACAACAAAAAAATAGCATTGATGAAAAGGATGATGAGGATGATTATGAAAATGTTTGTGAAGCTCGACGAATACTACGTACACTACTTCGAAGTAAGAGTGTTCCAGTTTTTGATGATGTTCGATCAGCTCTTGAATGTGCTGCATATATACTTGAAACAACTAAACATGCGGTAGTTAATCGTAGTGCGTTTAACGAAGATGATGGTGAACGAGGTAATTCACTCTTGCGTCTATATAAAAACTGTTACATGTAGTTTTTTACGTTTTCTAGATGTTCTTACGCCATTAACAATGTCACCGAATGATGTCAATAATTGTCGAGCATCATCCGTTGTTTTTATTCGTTCTCTTTCGAACAAAACATCTTTTGAAACACCTGATGATTTCTATCGACAAATGCATCAATCAGATGTACAATCAACTGCTTTTTCAAAACTTTTTCAGCGACGTATGAATTCTTCACCAGAATCAAGTACAATTAATTATCTATTGTTTTTATATTCTTTAACTTTCTTTTTTTTATATTAATTAATTTTTCAGATCGTCATCAATTTCGTTTAACATCTGTTTGTACAAAAACACAATTATCATGTTCAACAAATGAAAGCGATGATGATGGTTATAGTTCACTTTCATCAAGCAATCGTGCTTTATCCATATCATCATCATCATTAGCATCTGAGCAATTTGAATCTACTATAGATCAACAACGTGAGGAAAATTTTCTAGGGTAAAATAATACATGGCTTTGACATAGATTCATTATTGAAAACATATTTTGTTTTTTTTTAATTTCCAGATCGAATAATAAATCACCAACTTCTACGATAAATAATTTTATAACAAATTTTTATTCTTATATTCCTTTTGTACGGTCTTCAACTCAGTCGGATTCATCTGTTTCACAATCACTCTTAGTTTTATTTACGCTTCCTTTTCATTTTATCAAAAACACTCTTTTTTCGGCTACTTTATCTTCATCACCACAACCAACATCGGGTCCATCACAAGAACCAGTTGTTTTAGCTTCACCTTCGCATATTTCTTCTCCTCGATTATCAAGGTATATCTTCGATATATATATAGCTTCCGGTGAAAATGATGAATATTGGGTCAATACAATGGTATTTCCAATACTTGAAAAAGCTAATCTTACTTTTACAAAACGACAATCTTATCATGATAATGATCAAACCGATGCTCTCTATGATATGCATGTACGTAAACAATCACATGTATTATATTATTTAATTAATGGTAGTGAACGTTTGTCACATTTAACTACTGAACTCGCATTTCTTATTGGTGAACGTAAACATAAAATATTTGTTTATCTTCAATCAACTATTGATGAGGATACCGAACAAATATTATCAGCATGTGAACGACGTGATATTCAACGTTCGAGAAAATATCTTGAAGATTTAGCACGAAAAGAGAATATAACTTTATTTAATTCACGTCAGCAAAGTTGGGAACATGTTTTACAGTTTTTTGATCAGCAGAATTAGTTTGTATAGGACTAGTCTGTTGTTTTCTTTTTTTTTTCTTTACTACTGTCTTTATTCTTATTGTAATTCGTATTCTTACTATTATTGATGTTCATCTACATAATAATGATCATTATATGGTTACCATGTATAAATTAAAAGATGACTATTTAATTTGAATTATCATATCACTGAATGCATCAATAATAAGAAGAACTGAAGTCTGCCTTAGTCATGATTTGTGATGATACAAAACTACAGCAAAAAAAAATATTTTTTTCTTTTTATGTGCGTGCGTTATGTTTCTTTGCTGATTGTATTTTATGATTTTGTTTCTAACAAAACTACATGATTTCAAAAAAAAACAATAAGTGTTCTCTTATACATCTATATGTGCACATGACAAATATCAAGCATTATTATAGTATTTTTGATTTCAAACTTTCTTTTGTAGATTTGTTGCCACACGTCAGATAGTAGAAAGAAAAAAGAGTGCTAATAACAAAAAAAAAACACGAAAGAAAAAGAAATGTGTTTGCCAATATTACGGTATGTATAAAGCAAGACTGATAATGGTTGGTACATCTTATTAATATTCAGATAAACGATTAGAAACTATGGCATTTACTTTTGGTACACCTACTTCAACTGTCGATTCGGATGATTATGTTTCATCGATAACAGCTATGTCTGATCGATCTGATGAACAACAGCAACAACATCTGACAATATCTGATCATGCATCACGTACTGTTTCAAAAATTGCATCCTATTTTCGACAAGGTTTTCTATGTGATGTGGTTTTTGTTTGTGGTCATGGACAATTAAAACAACGAATTGCAGCTCATCGTCTTGTTATTGCAACATTATCTGATTATTTTCGTGCTATGTTTGAAAGTAATATGCTTGAAACAAAACAACGTGAAATTGTTATCAATGATGTTGATCCTGATGCACTAGAAAAACTTATATCATATGCATATGAAGGTATAGTCACTGGAAGAAAAGATTTTTTTTCTTTCAAAATTTTATTTAAAAATTTATTAGGTCGTATTGAAATTCATCAAGATAATGTTACAAATGTTCTTTGTGCTGCACATATGTTTAATATTACTGAAATAATTCAAAGCTGTTGTAAATATATTGAAAAACAACTTCATCCATCGAATTGTCTTGGTATACATAAATTTGCTTTACAACATGATCTACATGGATTAACAAAAACTGCTTGGAATTATATTCTTGTAAATTTTTAAAATTTCTTTAATGAAAGATTATTTTAATAATTGAGTTTTTGTTTTGAAAGGAACATTTCACAAATGTAATTCAAAATAATCATGAATTTTTTGAATTATCTTTTGATGAAATTAAACAAATTTTGACGTCTGGTAAGTCAATTTTTTATTTAGTGTCTATTTTGCTTTATTTTCATTTACATAATAAATACTCAAAAATTAATTCACCATAGTTTTTCTGTGATTGTGACATGGCATTGACCTTGACTTTTTTTTCTCATAGTATCTATATTTCGTATTATCAGTCAAAAAAAATGTAACCTTTTGGTTATTAAATATTCAAATAAAAACACTAAGCATTACAAAATAAAAAATAAAAAATCTGAAATAAATAAATTCATATAAATATAAAAGTTTGACAACCTATTGCTTCGTTCTAGTGATTTTTTCCTAAAACTAAAAGTGAAAGCTTACATGATGGTGCCATGTCTCAATATTCCAAAACTTACATCATCGATTATTTTGCATATATCTTTGCATGAATAAATAACTAAGTATTGAATGCTTTCTTAATCAATGCACCGTTCAATTCTCTAACTGAAAATGTCTATTAATTGTTTCTGATGATGTTCTAGACAAGGGAGTGGCATATGGAAGAGGAAGAAGGCATGACATTCTCATGTTGCTGAGTTTTGTTCACACAGCTCATCTTTTTCTGAGGTACAAACGTGCAAAAAAAGATTTTTTCGTATTTTGCAAACTGATTGACAATGGAAAATTCTCACTGCCAAACTAACAAATTTTAACGGCAGTTACCCATAGTGTGTACTTATCGAAATGATGAATTTTTCAGGTATGTACAATCTATGCAAGATATTCACAGATCAAAATTTTAACACTATTTATTTGTTGTCTTTTGTTATAATGGTTGAATGAAGCTCGTCGAGTTGCATCAGAAAGAGTATGTATTTCAAACTTACAAATAGAGTTGAAAATTTTTTATAAAAAGTCAGATTTTTGTTAATTTATTTTCCTTATATTTGAAGACAATGGTACCTTGAATTTTTTCATTGATTTTTTTAAATCTTTTTTTAAGTTTGTAATACAAATTATGCAACTTGATGACATCTATCCAACTGTCATGGAAAACGACAAATAAATAGTGTCAAAATATTGACTTGTAAATACCTTACGTATACAGTAAATATCCAAAAAACCCAATATAGTGCTCGATGCACGCTAGGGAAAGCTTCAATTTTAGATTTGTTAGCTTACCAGTGAGAGCTTTAATTTTGCCCGAATATATCTAATCTTTTTTTCTAACGGTACGAAATCTTTCATTGTAAGAACAATTTTCTAACCCTTATCCTGTCCTACGTTCCTCTATTCTGAAACTCAATTATTTTGTGCCTCCCACCTCCACTGCTGAGTTACGTCTCTAGTTTCACAGACCTTAAAGTAAATATTTGTCTGATAGCACAGTATTCTACTATTTCAAGAATAACTAAACGTTTGAAACTATTTTGTAATAAAAAATCATACCCAGGTGTAAGCCTTCAAAAACTAAAAATTGTTTTCACTTCCTACTTTGTACAAAATTCAATGATATATCTTATGAAAATAATTGACCAATTTATTACTTGTTTTGTGAAAAAATAAGTATAAAAATAAATAATATTTTCGACATTTTTTTACTCTAAGATCGAGGAGAAATTACATGATTCGAGTTTTCACTCTTCTAATCAATTATTGGAAACAATCAATAGAGAGTTTCAGTCAGATTGTTGTACAAAATTTAATGACGTGTCTTCTGAGAAAAAGAACAAAGTTTAATGATATCTTTGTGTAAAGATATAATTGCATTCGTGATATAAAAACCATTTCGACTTTCTCTGTGTATGTATATATTTATCTTAGATGATATCAATGTACAATCAGAAGAAACTGTTTTTGAAGCATTCCTTTCTTGGATTGATTATGATAAAAAACGACAAACTGATCGTTTAGCACAATTATTTGGTTTAATAAAATTACCTTTAATTGATAAAAAAGTATAATCTTAATGTGGTTTTTTTGTTTTTAGTAAATTAATTATCTTTTTTTTTACTTTATTTTTAAATAGTATTTAACTGATTATATTGATACAAATCAAATTTTTAAAGATGATCCTTTATGTCAGATGCTTATTGTTGAGACAATGCGTTATCATTTAGCGCCTGAAAAACGTTCCTCAATGCGATCAGTAAGGACTAAACCAAGAAAAGCAACACTGGGCTCTCTATATTGTCTAGGTGGAATGGATAGTGCTAAAGGTAAAACAAAAAAAATATGAAATGTTTGGTTTAATGGTATATTAAACGAATGTATACCTTTTCAAATTAGGTCCACAGACTATTGAGCGATACGATTTTCGAACTCGTTCTTGGCAACCCGATGGTCATTTGAATACTCGCCGTTGGCAATTTGCTTGTGCCATCTTGGATAAGAAATTGTATGTTTGTGGAGGACGAGATGGTCTCAAAACGTCAGTACATTTTAATGTAGATTATGATAAATATATGTTGTTTTGTTTGTTTTTTTTCTTAATTGTTATTCTATAGATTAAATAGTATAGAAATATTTGATTTCCACAAGAAAACATGGAATGTTGGACCACCCATGCTTACAAATCGTCATGGTTTAGGTGTTGGTTGTATTGGTGGACCATTATATGCTATTGGTGGTCATGATGGATGGAGTTTTCTTAATACAGTTGAACGTTTTGATCCAGAAACTTGTGTATGGTCATATGTTGCATCCATGGCTAACGTACGATGTTCACTTGGTGTTACTGTCCTTGAAAATCGGTAACACTTAATACATCGAATAAAAATGCTTCTATTATAATCGGATTATTATGAAATAAGATCCAATTATAATTGAAAGATTTTTCACTAAATAAACATCATTTTTCTTTTTTTTGAAGAATTTATGCTGTTGGAGGTCGAGATGGTGCTGCAGGGCTTCGTGAAGCAGAATCTTATGATCCACATACCAATCGTTGGTCACCATGTGCACCAATGCATAAACGACGTGGGGGTGTAGCTGTAACTGCTTGTAATGGATTTCTATTTGCGATAGGTGGTCATGAGTCATCAGCAACAAATAAATGCACTGTTCGTCATGATGATGGTGAACGTTATGATCCCAGATGTGATCAATGGACATTAATTACTTCATTAAATCGGCCTAAAGAAGCTTTAGCTATTGCTGCAGTTAGTGATAAATTATATATTGTTGGTGGTTTTGATGGTAAAGTACTTGATGAAGTTGAAAAATATGATCCAGAAATAGATAAATGGACGAAAGTAAAAAGAAAAAAACTTTTATTGTTATGTAATACAAATAAATATTAAATGTAATTTTTAGTGTCCATCTTTGGGAACGAAAAGAGCCGGTGCTTGTCTTATTCATGTTTCTAATTCTATTCATCAATTATCATTACCAACATCACTGTCACCATCCTCTTTTTCATCATTGTCTTTGCTTACTACAAGTTCTTATACTTTATCATCACCAACATTTTCAAAACGAAACAAAGATGTATCAGCTAGTTGTCATCAGTTAAGTCGTCTTGTTCTTTCATAGAACATATTTATTAGCTCAAAGCGTTTCTTCATTTGTATCGTTCTTCAATTTTATTTTATAGATGTAGTACTGCCTTTTCTATTTCTTTTTTCTTACGTTAAAATTATGACTTTCTATCTCATATTTATTAAATCTATAGATAAATTGATATATTTGTATTGACTTTCATAGAATTTGGTTAATTTTTTCTTTTCTACTTCGTTACATTTTTTTTATTTTAAAAATGATGATGAACATGAATAGGATTTTCTTTCGTAGATAAAATGACTGAATCTATTGCTCCACCTGACACAACTGCTTTTGGAGATCATGAACGACCAAAAAGAATATTTAAAATTATTGTTATTGGAGATTCACACGTTGGTATGAATATTAAGATCGTTTAAAAATGATATTTGCATTCAATTTTAGGTAAAACATGTTTAACATATCGGTTTTGTTCAGGAAAATTTCCTGAAAAAACTGAAGCAACTATTGGTAAGGTTTGGTGATTAATCATCACTAAGACACATTTACTTAACTTTTGTTTTTCTTTTTATTAGGTGTAGATTTTCGAGAAAAAACATTGGAAATCGATGGTGAAGTGTTCAAAGTATGTCTATAAATGCAAAAAAATCTTCTGTAATTAAAAGTCATTGATCTTTCTCTTTAGCTTCAAATTTGGGATACAGCTGGACAAGGTAAGTTTATAAAAATAAGCGAAAAAAGCTTGTTTGTTATTAAAAATAGATTATTAATTTGTTTATATATTTGAATAAATTTTTCATTATAATCTTTGATAGAAAGATTTCGTCGATCAATGATCAATCATTACTATCGAAATGTTCATGCTATTGTCTATGTTTATGATGTTACTAACTTGTCTTCATTTGAAAATCTTCCGGGATGGATTAATGAATGTGACAAACATGTACTTGATCAAGATTTACCCCGTGTTTTAGTTGGCAATAAATGTGATGTATCAACCGATGAAGTTGTTGTGCCTAATAATGTTGCTCAACGATTTGCTGTATATATTTATACTTAAATATTATAAACTATTCATCAAAAGTTTTTATTTTCTTTAGGATGCTCATAATATGCCATTGTTTGAAACATCAGCTAAAGCAGATGAACATCAAGATCATGTCAATTCAATATTTATGTTGATTGCACATAAACTTAAACATTCGAAACCACTTATGTCACAACCAAAATTATATGCACATCGTAATGTTTCAATAACATCATCATCATCACCTACATCGTCTAATGATCCGAACTATTGCATGTGTTAAACTTTACCAAAATATCTATGAACTAGTTTTATCAATAATTTAAACAAATAACGCAATGTATTTGCAAATATGCGTGTATGAGCCATATTCATTCATTATCTTTGTCTCATTCACTCGTTTCATATATATATATATATATACATAATTACATTTATATGTAATCATCATTCTTTGTCTATTCCATTCCTATTATTTATTACTAAATCGAGTATACATGTATTTTTTTTTGCTTCAATTATTGTTAGTATCGCTGATATATTTTGGCTTTGTGTTTAATTGTTTGTTTAAATGGAAAGGATTACTTCGCGAACGAGTGACATTTCTGCCGATACTGTGTTATATTTAATCTTATAAAACATTTAAAAATTCAATATAAATATTACATTTTAAGGATTTTTATTATTCTTTCATCTATGATTATTGATTAACTAGCGTCAAACGAAAGAAAAATCTGAATTTCACATACCTATGTATTGAATAAATCAAAAAAATAACCAATATTAATTTGTATCCTTTTATAATTTAAAGATACTCGAACATCAAAGTTGGTGAAATTAAAGAATTAGGCAAAACGAAATAATATCTGTTTATGGTATGTGAAAGAAACAAATGGTAAGATAGTTTTTGATGATACAAAAAAATAAAGAGTCAAACATGAGGCGTGAATTCTTGTAATTGTATTCTATCGAAACTAAACATAGCAACAAGAAACGTTAATATATATGGGCTGAAAATAGATATGTCCATCTTTCCTTTGACTTTAATTCTTTATAAAAAAAAAGTAATTAGTGAATAACTCTCTTAATTTATGACGAAAAAGTCAAAAGCTGCAGGATAGACTCTAGGCTATAAATTAGATGTATGATGAAATTTTTAGCAAAATCAAACTCCAAACGACTGTCTTTCCGAAAGTTGGCTCTCCAGAGGGCTTATCATCTTTCAGAACGAAGATTTTTGTTTTACTATCGTCTTCAAGAAAGATTTGGACTATTTAGAATTAATGTTTCCACTTCTCATTCAGTTACATGAGAATTTTCCTGCCCTATATTCACATTAAGTGGCATCAACATTAATACTTTCTCAATGATAACTCTTTTGAATAAAGATCGCTTGAACTAGTTTTTTCCAAGGTATTTAAAGTAATTTAAGATTTATTTTAGAGTTTATTCAACAAAGAACTGATCTAATTTCAAGCTTTATAAATAGATGCAAGATAACTTGTCTCAAAAACAATATTGATGAATTACTATTTGCAATCATGCTTGATGTTGTAGATGAGAAACATCTTTATTAATTCAAAATGCTTTAATTTCGTAACTTGAGTTTCATCAAAAATCTTGAGTTTTAATGTAGTAAATAAGAAATGTATGAAATAAATTTTGATTCTCTCACGGAATATTCATTTCTCTATGTTGTCAGATCGGTGAAAGTTGGTATTCACAATTTTATGCACAAAAGCTCTAGATATACTCTATGTTAGAGTTTTAATTTTCTACAAATTATTGTTATAGAGATACAAGTAATGTCACAATTATAAAATTTTCTGAATTATTGCAGTATTATGTGCATACTGTATTTATGTTACACAAAAAGTTTTATTGGAAGAAAAATTTATCGATCGAATATTTTTAAAGAAAAATATTAATAAATCGTTTATCAATGTTATATATTTTTTCTTTTGATTTTGGTTTATCACTTGCTAAAATGAATGGAAATTTTGCTTTTTTTGTCCTATGAGACATTCCATTCGGAATTTCGTATGAAACATGTGAAATTCCTAGTGAGTTAGTTTTATTTAGTTAAGACAACAAAAGAAGTCTAACTTGATAAAGAAAACCGATAGTTATCGACCAAACCATTCATGAAGTATGAAAGTCATTTTACTATTTATATAATTAATTTGTACGTTTTAATTACAAATTTTTCTATGTTTAATAGATTTTAAAAAATTTTTGTACACTTGATGCTACTTGTGTCTCTATAACAATAATACTTAAAAAGCTAAAATTCTATCATTAAGTATATATAGACATTTAATGCATTTAGTTGTCAATATAAACTTTCAGTTTATACGAAAAGATATAAGAAAAGAATATTGTTTGATGGAATCACAACTTTTTTTACATGCTGTTACTCGTGGAACCATTCATGGTTCATAGTTTTATCTGTACTCATTCACCACAAAGGCAGAAAATTGGAATAAAATACATTGTAAAAACAAGAAACGGATGAAATATGATCATTTCTTTTATCGAATCATTTCGCTGTTAGAACTCGAAGTCTTTGATTCTTTCTTCAATAGTAAGATCTGTTCCCCTTGTTCCATAGCTAATCGTCGATCAAAAAACCAACATATTATATATAAAACTGAATCAATAACATAAACAAAATCTCCAAGAATAACAATAATTTGTGTTAATGGTACTCCAATCATAATTATTGATACTACATAGAGTAACGATCCTAACAAGTTTAGACTATTAGCCCAAAAATATAAAATACTCGATCCAGGAACTATCATATTTATTGCTGCACCAATTGCAAAACCAAAAACACCAATTCTATTAAATGTTAAAACTGTATTTGAACTTGTGAAAGCTGTCGCTGCGAATAATGCACCAAGAAAATAAGCATGACTTCCAATTTTATCAAATATACAAGAGACAACCATAGCAATGTATCGATCAGTACCACTGTCAATATTATATACTGCTAATAATTCTAAAGTACAGTCAATTACGAATACACCTGCAAGAATGACATAGACAATCGAGGATAACGATGAATCGAGGATATTTGGATACATATAATCAAATCCATCCATTAAAAAATAACCAATCATACCGAAAGTAAATACAATGTTGACCCAAAATGACCAGAAAAGAGCGCGAGTAGGAAAAAATTTTTCGTCCATGTATAATTACTCTATATGAATCTGGCAAAGATTCGTTTTTTTTTGCTTTGTTTTCTACATACAAAACGAGTCACAGCTGGCACTACACTTATGCACCATAATAAAGATCTATCTAGTATTTTTATTTTCTATTATATTATCAATCGTAGGCGTGTACATGATAATAACACTATTCAAAATTTGTATATTTGATTAGTTTTGAAGAAACCACATTGACTACAGACAGATAGGTAATTTTCAATTTTTACTTAGCTTAGCATTAAACTGAAACACATACGCATACGTTACAGACTGAACTATTTTCGCACAGATATATATATGAAAGCTTATGGATAGGAGAATATGGACAAATCTTTTTGTTAAAGACATGGTAAATCAGTAGAAAGATGTTACATATGTATGTAGAGAAAAACAAGCAGATTTTTGTATAACAGACATATATGAATATTCTAATAGAACATTGTTATACATTAGTATTAGTAATGGACATTATTTGTAGAATTTCATTTAGACCATTAGTAGATATTGATATTAAATATATTTTATGTTTGTAATAGTTGATTATGTGACAATACTTTTTCATAAGACATAGCCCATATTTTTTTTTCTTTAAATTTTTTTGTCCATTACAAATACTCTAATCGATGTGTCATCAGTTTTAGTCATTGTCTGCTGAAAATTAGCTCTTCGAACTAAATTTTTTTTCTGACAAAGATCAAAAAAGTTATACTGGATATTAAACTAATATGTGAAGAACGCGACAAAGTTTGTTTCTTACTTTTTCTCAATCGAAAAAAAGATCTTTCAAGGTTAAATTTCTTGCTTAGAAAAACAGAATCATCGTTCATCAATGTTTTCGTACGACTTCTGATGCAGTCGATGAGATACCATTTCGCTAGCAAATGTAACTTCAGTCTATATTTGTATTGTTTCAATAACAATAAACTAGACCTTCGTCTCTATCGGCGATAGAAATACAAAAAGAAATGATGTTGCCCAAGTTATATTTTAAATTATCGAACGTGAGGTTATTTTTCATGAATTGTTAAGCTATAAAAAAAGAAAATAGTTTCACTTGTATAATTAGTGATTAAGTAATATGCTTCGGTAGAAATGGTTTGCCATCACGACAGGAATGAGTTTTAATAATCACTTCAAAAGACCAATCGCCACCATAATTCAATTAAAGTAACTTGGGATAAGTTTTTCGATATGAATGTCTCGGTGCAAGATGTAGGATCACTTGAGATGAAGTTGACAATGATCTACTTCTAAAGACCGGAAAACCATTAAAGATTAATTTTTATATCAAATAATACTTATTAACAACTTTTATTTTCTGCTGTCGCATTTTTATTTGCATTTCTATGAATAATTCACTATCATCTTTATAGAACTTATTTTATAGAATCTATCATAATTGCGTGACTTCTGAAGAAACCACAAAGTCTTGCTAACGCTTCCTCTTTTGCGTTCTTTCATCACTGGCAATGGCTTTCTTTAAAAAAAAAACGAATGCCAAAAGTTAATCATCTCGATCATTTTAACTTTGATGTCAAGAAACCTATGCTCATGTTAACATGACGATAAATGTATTAAAACATTATATCATCGTTTTATGGATGTTTGAAAAAAAATTCAATGGCAACAATTCTTTAAAATGCAGTACTTGAACTTGCTTTCTTTTAGCAGAAGTAAAAGAAAGAGGGGATAGGTAAGAAAAAGTAAATTGATAAGCAATCAAAATGATTAAAAAATGTATAATTCTATTATAGATTTGCACGATCTATCAATCAAGTTAAAATCTGATCACTATTCTGAAAAATAATTTTTCAACATATTTTATTAGTCGTGACATCTTTCTAATAAAATATAGTTCTCAAGAAGACTTGATTGGTTCATAAATTGACTCATAGGAAAAAGTTGGTTCCTATCTATCTATATATAGACAAATACATATTTCAGAAAATTGAAAAAATCCATCAAAAGTATTGTATCAAATTTTTTCCCATTGTTAACTCTTCTTATTGAAAATGGCTAGTTCAGCCGAGCGATCACATGGTCATGATGCTCGCACATATTATAATAGTACACAAGAGCATGGTTTAGATCAACGTAATGAAAGTAAAATTTTACATTTGCGTAATTTTAATAATTGGATCAAAAGCACATTAATTGGTATGTAATATTTAATATAGTTCCCTTAATTATTTTGTCTTTATTTGCATTATAGATGGATATTTGCAACGTATTAGAAAGGAACAACCTGATCGAAGTAATAAAATTCATGTATTTGATATGGGTTGTGGTAAAGGTAAATAATATTTAGTTAGCTTTCTAATTCATCGAATATAATGTTTTATTTTTGAAAAAACTTTTAGGTGGTGATCAGCTGAAATGGCAAGTTGGTCGTGTTAATTTCGTTACTTTTGCTGGTTAGTTAAAAAAATAAATTTGATAATTATTTATGTCTACGATTGTCAATTTGTAGATCTTGCTGAAAATTCAGTTGAAGTATGCAAGCAACGTTATTATGAGAGACAGAAAAAATGCAATTATAATGCAGATTTCTTTCCACTTGATTGTACTAAAGTTTGTTTTCTTGATTTTCTTTTATTTTCTATGTTGACACATCTATTACATATTAGGAACTTATTCGAAATAAACTGAAAACTACTGAACCATGCTTTGATCTAGTCAGTACACAATTTGTTCTTCATTATGCATTCGATAAATTGGAATCAGCTAATCGATTTTTACGCAATGCTGCTGAATTTTTACGTGTAGGTGGCTATTTTATTGGTACTACTGTGAATTCATGTGAATTAGTGTATGTGAAAAAAAAAGTTCAACAAATGATGCATAATACATTTTTTTTAAATTTCAGTGAACGTTGTCGTAATTCACCGAATCAGAGTATTTCTAACGATGTATTTAATGTCGCATTCGATCCTTCTATCGATCTGAGTAAAACCAGTAACGAATCAATTCCGTTATTTGGTGCTAAGTATCATTTTACTCTTGATGATGTTGTTAATTGTCCTGAATATCTTGTCTATTTTCCTTTACTTGAAGAGTATGTTTTAGTTTCTTTTTTTTTTCAATCTACTCGATTATTTAATCTTATAGATTGGCAAAAAAACATGGCCTAAAAAAAGTTGAACGACAAACATTTAAAGAATATTTTGATAACAATAAGGATACTAGTGGTGGTCGTTTTCTATTATCGAAAATGAATGCGTTAGAGGTAAAAAGTAATTTATAAATAATAAAACTTGTTTTTAAAGAGAAATAAATAATTTAGTATTATGAACTTCCGCCAGACAATCCACATAATCAACGAGGACCAATTATTGATCATACTCGATACACACATGCTGCAAAATACATTAATGACGTTAATACACAAAATCAAAATTCTATGAAAAGTTGTGTAAGTCTCTTATAAAATTCTTTTTTTTTCCTTATAAATACTTTCTCAATTCTATAGCGAACTTTATCTAAACAAGAATGGGATATGACAAGTAAGATATTATTTCTATAAGTGAATTTTATATATATATTGATTATATTTTAGGTCTCTATATTATATTTGCTTTTCAAAAAGTACATCAAGTCCAATATGATGATAACAATACTACAGAACAATGATCATATCTTTGACTCTTTATTGTTGTCCTTTCTCTTTTTTCTTTTGTTATTTCATTTCATTCAATTTAATTGTGGTTATTATTGTACTGTTGATAGTTATTTTCCTGATGGTAATATGAAATAAAAATAAAATATGTAAATTAATTTAAATAGAATTATGATGAATTTATTGGATTTTTCAACATATTTATAGTTAATATTTTTTATGAGAACGATTTGATTTTTCTATTACATAAAAAAATCAATATGATTATCAACAAAACTTCAGCGGACATCATCTTTTCGTACAGAACCAATATGTATTTTGCAATCTATAGATAAACACTAAGTTGATTTAAAAACTGTCCAGTAAAACCTAAGTCCATATACTTAACCATGATAATGTATAGTGAAGGTCTATTTTCTTGAAAATTTAAGAGACTGAGAACTTTCGCAAAAACAAAGTTCAACTACTATCAACTTTACTAACAATTTAAATATAAATTTAAGATATTATACTGTTTCGCTTGTACGAAAACGTCCATTGTGTTTCATGTGCAGCGAGTCTCAAAAGGCTTTTGAAATATTAGCAAGAGGACCACAATTACAATTTTGTAGAGCATAATCTAAACCAGGTAGAAAATCTGAGATAAAAATAACAGACAACTAAAATATTATGGTTACTATCATAAAAGTCATTGTATCAGTTATTATCTAGGAAAGTAAGAAGAAATCAAAATGAACTACATGAACGCACATAGAACAAATCTTCAAATATCTCTAATCCACGTTCTTTAGAAAATTCTCTGGGGAGTCCCAAAAAGACAAAGAAACAACAAAGAAAACTGTGGCGGAATCTCGAGAAGTCAAGCAAAAATTGAAAAATTCTCTGGAGAAATTTCTGGGGAGGTCCTGAAGAATCCATAGGGATGCCCTAGATGATCGTCCAGACAGTTCTCAAGATTTTTTCGAGACTCTTTATGGATTCCTGCAGATATACCTGTGATTTGACTACACTCGGAAATGTTTTTACTTTCTGATTTGACTTGAGTTAAGAAAAATTTTTTCCGATCTTTTGATTAATTTCTAATTTCTATCGTATTACTCGTATAGAGAAATATTTTTTCGAATTTTTAATGAAGCACGTGATAGGTTAGATTTTAGTCAAGATAGGTAAGTCAAGTCAGATCTGACTTGACTTGGATAACCGTTACATTAACTTGAGTTGACTGATGACGTGAAAACACTGAACTTTCTCAGCTCTAATTGTATGTTGAAATGGTTTACAAATGCCTTGCAATGGTGAATTTTGTTAAAAAATTTTTATTAAATATTTTGCCTAATTTGATTATTATTATAGCTACAACAAAAGTAATGTCATGTTATCAAACTACAAAATGACAATATGAAAATGATGGTATTGATGATTTGAATTGACTGATCTGATAAATTTCATTTTTTTTAGACATGATTGATAATATTAGTAAGAAAAATAATGAAAAGACGACATCCAAGAAAAGAAAACTCTAGAATAGCAAATTGTGTCAAATAGGAAATGAACAAAACAAGGATCACCGTCACGACTATCAGTTAAATGTAAGTTTACATAAATAAACAAAAGAATATCCTATTCTATGCATTTATTCGTTTCATCGCAAAAGAAAGAACATCTGAATATACTCTTCAATCTTTTTGAACTCGTTCAGTCAAAATCTCACTAACTAATCCATTAGATTATTCTAATATAACAACAAACAAAAAGAAGAAAACCAAGAATATATCATTACATGATATTAAATCAAAAAGATGAGAATTCCCATCACTAGTTACTACTCCATCATCAATCAAATCAACAAATAAAATTAAAAATCAAGCGTCGAAAGATGTACTTTGTATAACTACGACACTAGTAACTGCTATAAATATTCGTTATCCATCAGCTTCATCATCTACTATAACAAGAAATAGACATTAAAAAAAGTATTTTTGCCAACAAAAGAAAACACATCTAAATCTAGAACGATTAAATCAATCGATGATTTGTGGTAGTAGTCGTTTTACGATCATCAAAAGACTCGCAATACGATCACTCTCTCTATGTTTTCTTTACTTTCTTCTTTTCATTTCTTTGTTTTTATTGTATGTTTCTTCTTTCTGGTCTCTTCTCTTCTCTCTAGGCATCATGTTAATATATATGTATGTAAGGACATTTATATAGATATATATATATTCAAATAAATAAAAGAAAGCTTGTTGGATACGAATTAACAGTTTGTTTTTTCTTTTTTTGTTTTCTTTTTCTTAAAACTAAAATCTCAAATTATTTTAGTTCAACAATCACGTTCAAAAGTCTTCATAGCTCGTCCAACACTTAAGATGACTACCAGATGTCGAACTACTCGTCGACAGACCACATATTTGTCTATACCATCTACTATAAATGGTAATATCAAAGGTGGTCAAGTATTAGCTGTTGGTGAAAATGGTATGACACAATTAGGATTAAAAAGTTCTATTGATCAACGAAAGAATCCTCAACCTGTACTTATTTCTGAACCTGTTGTACAAATTGCTGCCGGTCCTTTACATTCGGTTTGTTTAACAAATCAAAATGATATTTATACATTTGGCTGTAATGATGAATATGCATTGGGCCGTTCAGATAATAATAATGATGATAATAATAATGATGCTGATCCATTTGGAAAAGTTGATTTAACTAAAGTATTGAATATAGATCAAGAAAATATTGTACAAATCGTTGCTGGTGATAGTCATACATTAGTTTTATCAAATATGGGTAAGGTTTATGGTAGGTTTTATCAACTTTTTTGACTTATGACATGTACTATTTGATCTTGTTTTTCGATTGTTTCACGCTGGGGCACATTTCGTTCGAGTTCACATGGAATTTATGGTCTTGTTCGCAATGGTAAAATGGCAAAACATCCAATTGAAATTCCTTTACCAGAAAAAATTGTTAAATTAGCAAGTGGATATGATTTTATATTATTTCTAAGTGAAACAGGACATGTTTATTCATGTGGTAATGGAGAAACAGGTCAATTAGGTAGAGTTAGTCGATATGTATCGGAAGATGGTGGACGTAGAGGAATTGGTAAGACGTGTATTTTTATTAATATTGGTTTCTTTTTTCTTTGGTTTTGTTAATATAAAAGAGATATTTTTTTAGAACGATTAATTACACCTGCACCTATTCTTTATAATCGATCATCAATTAAAGACAAAAATTTATTATTTGAAGATATTTTTACTGGTGCTCATCATTATTTTTTAAAAGTACAAGGTCAATCTTATATACTTGCTGCTGGATTGAACAATTTTCATCAAATTGGTGCGATTAATTCCTTCCATTTCTAAAGCATTTAATAAATATTTGTTTTTTTTTTATGTCAGGTTTATCATCAACAGAGCCTGTCTTTTTTCCAACACATATTCCATCATTAGATGGTTACCAATGGAAAAAATTTGCCGGTGGTCTCCATCATACACTTGGTCTTACTATTGATGGTAAATTTTAAATGCGGTTTTTTTTTTTGTTCTTATATTTTTTCTTTAGGTGAAGTTTATGCGATGGGACGCTGTCATGAAGGTCAATTGGGTATTGACGCTCTAAAGACTCATGTTGATAAACCAACACTTATTCCAAATATTCCAAAAGCTGTTGATATAGCTTGTGGAAATCATGTTTCATTTATCATTGATAAAACAGGCAAAGTTTATTCATTTGGTACTGGTACATCCCTTCAACATGGACATGGAGAAAATGATATTAAAATGCCACGCATGATGTCATCGAAATTTATGGATATTAAAAAAATTACCAATATTGCTGTCGGTGCTCAACATACAATTTTTCTCACTAAAGAATAATATTTTTTTTTCTTTTTCTTGTCTTTTCTTTACAATAAACAAAAAAAAAAAAAAAAAAAATGAAACAAATTTCGTTTTTTGCACGTTACCAATGAATTGATGTTTGACTCTAAGAAAAAACACACACAACCACACCGATATGAATGACACCGAGAAAAAAAATATGTACAAAAAATTAATTTGTTTTCTTTTTTTCTAAAGATGACGTTTCATATGAAGTGTTAGATGATCGGAACGAGCAAAAGCTCGATCACAAAATTTGCACGGAAATGGTTTGACACCAGTATGTTTTCTAAAACAAATAACAAAAAAAAATTATCATAGACAATATTGTTTTTCTTTTTCTTAATCAAATTACTTACCGATAATGTCGAGTCAATTCATCAGACCGTGCAAATTTCCAACCACATGCAGGCCATTGGCATGAATATGGTTTGATACCTGTATGTGTTCGTTCATGAGCACGTAAATGTGATGATTTATTATATATTTTGCCACATCCTGGATGGCTACAGATATGAGTCATTGTATGATTTCGTTGTATATCTTCATCTGTATTATTATTCTGTAATGAACAAGAAGCTTTTCGTTTTGTTTTTGGTCCATTTGATGTATTTGTTGATGAACGTTTTCGACCTTTTGGTACAATTGATGAAGACCACATATCATTGATACCAGTTTGATTAAATCGATCAATTGGCGATGTTAAACTATAATCCGGAATTGATGATGATGATGGTGAGGATGATTGAGTATTATCAATAGGTAACGAAATAGGAATAAGTAATGATGATGAATATGCATCTGATGATGTAGTTGAAAGTGTTTTATCATCATATAATTGATGTCCAAAATCCATTGAATAATCTGATGAATATCGTATAGGTTCTGTTTTAACAATTTCTGTATTATTAGTATTATAATAAATTGGATTTGTGCAAGGTAATGTTGTATTTGTTGTTCGATTATGATTTCGACAATAACATGTTGATAGACGTTGTTGCTTTTGCATAAAATTTTCGTATGTTGTTGTTGGAGACAAATCCTCATTGACTAATTCATTATCTAATGGAAGACGTTTTCGACAAAGAAGTAAAGCAGTAGGTGAATGAATTAATGGACTTGTACGAATTTTTGAACCTGGATGCTGATATGGAACTTCACTTGCTATTGTTGTAGTTGAATATGGATGATGATGATGATGATAATGATGATGCATTTGAAATGGAACAAGATGAGCTGGTGGACTTAAATCAGATGAACAAGTCGATGATGATGATGATAAAGACATAGCTGATGGTGTTTTACTTAGTTCATCAGTTATATTTTGAGGACCATTTATATCAAATTGACTCAAATGATCGACAACACCGAGTTTTTTAAGACGAGCTGCTTGCTCATAAACATTTGGTGTTTCAAGTATAAGTGATGGATCAGCACGAAGATGAGATGTTTCACGCCATAATCGCTCCAATTCAGGCGAATACTGATAATGTATTTAAGAAAAAAAAATTATTATTGACATTTTGTACATTAAGAAATAATAATAATAATAATAATAAAGTTCTCAAAATATTTTTCTTATTACTTAAGTATTTTACTTACTGTATTAGGTGTTTTTGGACTAGTTGGAAAGCCTAAACTGTAATCTTCACCACTTTCGATCATGATACGCTTTAAATGAATAAATTTTTTCATGGTTACAACGCTATCTTCTTTTTCTCTTCTTCTTTTATTTTTTCTTGTTATTTGCTAAGTAACTGGTTGGTTCAATTATAATATACTAAACCAATGATTAAATCGTCCGACGTTATATATGTGCCTGTATTTGTAGCTTTATATGTTGATTTCCGATAGTAAACACACGCTGTTAAATGAATTTTTCCTAAACAATCATAATGAAACAGTAAGTAACATCGAATAAAAATAAAATCGTATGCTAAAATATACCTGTGTAGTTTTTTTTTCGGTAACAAATAAGACTAGGATAGACTTTCTAAAGAGCGTCACAATATCGAACTTAACTCAAAGGTGATACTACTGTCGATGAGTGTACGTCACGCATTATTTGTATATCTACAATAAAAGTGCTAACACATACATGAATGCGCTTACATTTTTTTGCTCGTCATACACGTTCGTCATTCGAAAAATCGATTGTCGTTTGAGAAACAGTAACACAGATCCTTTCTGTTCTGCACAGAAAGATACTCTCATACATACACTCAAAAAAGTGTTTTTTTTTACTTTTTTTTTGATTTGTTTTTTTCTCGTTCACCTTTTTGTGCTTCACCATGTGCAAGCTGCGGCAAGGCTATGATGATAGTTGACGTGATCTAAAATATGATTCGTAAATCTACCACTATTTGCTTGACATTAATAATGCATTTTTTTTTCTTTCGTAGACATTTCTCTTTCAAAAAAAGAAAAAGAATTCAATAATTTAATTGATCTTGGAAGAAGTTCAATACTCTTATTTTTCTTTTATTTCTGTATGTTGGTTTCTGTAAACAATTTTGAAGAACCCTTTTCAATATGCAAAGCATCACTACAATCATTGTTTTTGTTTTTTCTAGTACAGAATTTTTCGTGTTTCTTTTTACTTCAAAAAAATCTCACGTCTGTTTTTTTATTTCAGTCTCATCATATTGTGGTAAATTTTTTTTCTTTTCAATTACAGATGTAGAATAAAGAGAATAAAAACGAAATATTCTATCAAAGAGCACGTTTGAAAGTTTAAAGGTGAATAAAAACAATGGGATTGAGATCGAATAAAAAAAAAAAGAAAAAGAATGAACTTTTAAGCTTTGTTAGTATTTCTTCAGCTCGTTGGTTATCTAATGAGAGTGAAAATCAACATCCTGAGTATACATGGATGGCACACCCAACGATTAACTCATCATGCTCATTGTTCTATTTAGCTCGTTGACCACGTGTCAATAGGATTGATACATTGAACGGAAAGAAGCATGTACATACGTACAATACATCATCAAATTAAATAAGCAAGATATCTTTTTTTTTGTATATATTTCGTATGTATGTATGAAATGAAAACGATAAATAAACATATCATTTAATCATGTTCAATGTTAGAAATTGTTCTTTCTTGTTTTTTTCTTTTTGTATTTTCATACGAAACAAAAAAATTTTCATTTGTCACTTGTTGTCGGCACAGGAAATAACGAATATTTAGATAATTGAAAGAAAATTATATCGCAGATTGTTGTCGCGCGCATATTCAAAAGTTGATAAAAGAACGTCTGTGCATATTGACGTAAAGATGATCTGACCAAATACTAATAAAAAATTTATTATTTTTTTTCTTCTTAATTCTATTCAATACACTTGCACAAATGCCGCTGTGTATATTTATTGACTATCGGAAATCATATCATCAATAATAGTCAACACAATCAGCAACATATCTATGCAGTCAAATCAATCATTATATCAATGAGTCAGTATAAAGAAAAAGAAGCGCAAAAAAAAAAGAAATAAAAAGTTCAATGAACCGTAAAAAACTATGCGTGTGTACTGGTTCATATTAGTTACGAAATAAAATAGAAAAAAAAAAAACTTGAAAGGAACGATGGGAGTTATTCGACAGTTTATGGAAAAATTCTGTGTTGTAATAACGATCATTCTTGTTTACGAGAATGCACTTGTTTTTTATCAACATCTCTTTCCATATTGGTGGTCTCATGGACTTTATCGACGATTTTTCTTTCATTTAATTATTGGACATTGGTTATTAATTAATACAAGTATGCATTATTATTTTGCAACCACAAAATCTCCAGGTTTTGTTATTGATTTAAAAAAAGAATTATCAACTCAAGAAGAATTAGGTTATACAAAATGTTTCAAATGTGGTGTGATGAGACCACCGAGAGCACATCATTGCAAAGTTTGTCAAAAATGTGTCTTTCGTTATGATCATCATTGTAAGTGTATTCAAGCAAATAAATTTTCTTGAAAGAAGTAAAAATGTCAAAATATTTAAAATCGATTATTTCAAAATTAAATCTTATTTAGAAAAAAAAACGAAAAGATATGATACCCAAATAGGTTTCGGGAAATGTTTAATCTATTATATGTAATCAGTGAAGAACGATATATTCATATTAAGTACTGTTTTAAAAAATCTAATTTTTCTTTCATGATGAACAAATTATATTGTACTTTCTACTAACAATAAAATGCCTGTCTATCGCAATTTCTTGATATAGAATATACAGTTTACTATTAGAACAAACTTACGTAGATATATTAATATCACAAGAGTTAGCGTTTATAATGTAAATAAAAATTGAATAAAAACAAACGAAGTGTCCATATGTCATCGTAGTTGTTTTAATACATTCTTGAATAGTATTTGTTAATAGGACCATTTCATGCCTCATCAATTGCATTTGTGAGTTCACTTAAAAATATTTTTTTTTAAATTTTAATTTAATAAGTTTTCATATTGGCTCAGTAAATTTTAAATAAAGATCATCATCTAATCATTGACATAATTCAATGTGATATGCTTAACTAAAGAATATAGTTGAGGGAGTACGAAGTTGCCTATCAAGAAATATTTTATTTAAGAGTTTACAAAAATAGTTTCAACAAAATCCCATCATTTTGTATATTTCTATTAAATTTATCTTTGCATTTTTACGCATTGACTCTTATATTATTCATCTATGTCTACATAAAGTTGTCCTAACTGTAAACTCTATAGTTTGTATCAAAAATACCATTCGCAAGTTTTTCGTCGTCGACAATTTAATCGAATCAAACCACTAAATAATATTGGTTAAATATTCCAAAACTGAGAAACTTTATAATTTTTTGAGAGAATATCATGCCTCCGCCATTGATTAGGCCGAATCGTTCCTGCTTAACTGTTTTTATTATTCAAAATCAAATAAATTATTTTTTTTTTCATGGATTATCGTTGTTTCTTGTAATAGTTTTCAAATTTATTTTTTTTATTTAGGCCCTTGGATAAACAACTGTGTTGGCTATCAAAATCATGTACATTTTCTTTTATTTTGTATCTATATGGCAATGATCGCTGCTTATGCCATTATTGTCGGACGACAACAATTTCAACTAGTAATGTTTCATGATCAAATACTTTTCGGTTTATTGGATCCTATCCTACGACCAGAAGATCTCATTCGGGCTATACTAGAACATCAAACTATAGGTCCTATCACTGGTGTATTGACACTTTTTCTTTTTCTTACCAATTTTGTTGCAATGGTTCTTGTATTAGGTTTAACTATATGGCAGATGAGTCTTATTACTAAAGGTCAAACATGTGTAGAAGAAAAAATTGATAAATCCATTATCAATAATTCTGTAAAAGGACAAAAACGACGACCATATGATTTTGGGTGCACATTGAATTGGTCGATATTTTTTGAAGTAAATAGGATTAGTGAACTTTTAATTCGATTGATGATTCCTTTACCTTTTCAACCAAAACATGATGGTACGCGATGGATATCAAAAGATGACAAATGAATCAAGTTTTCTATTATAATTGATTTTTTCTAGTTTAGTTTATCACAAAATAAAATAACATACACTAGTATAATACTAAGGATAACATGAAAAATTAAATAAAGATAAAATGATCAAATAGAATCCATCTGAATGAGCATGTATGGTATGAGACACGACTGTTGCTTCGTTTATAAGTGTCTACGATTGGTATCAAAGGTACAATTGAAGTTCTTGCTGAGCTCAAAATTCTACTTGTGGTTGAGATTGAAACTACAGTTGTATTTATAGATCTAGTAGTATTACAAAAGAAAAAGAAATAGAAATAACATATAAACATCGAATGCTTACTCGGTTGTCTCTGGTGATGTATGATTATATTCTCTTGTTTCCATATAAAAAGAAATTTCATAATAATTTCTGAGTAGTTTTCCGATGTTGTTTGTAGAAGTAATAGCAAATGTCATAGATCCACTTGTTACATTACTGATAATGCTAGTATTGTTCTCTTCTAGCCACGTACTTATATCGGTATTTCAAGTATCATGAATGGAATTTATGTTAGAAACAATATGTATGCGACAGATCTCATTAATACTAAGTAATTGTATTATACCAAGAACACACATGTGAATTAGTAGAGTTTCTTGATCTCGATTATAGATTGTGAATGTAATAGAAGTTATTGAATTGTTTGTAGATGTATATGGTTAATTAGTAATTGAGATCAAAGTTGAGATTAGTGAAATAAGAGCATTACTTTACCGTTCTATCATTGAATTGTCTGTTAATCTGATTTTAGTCAGTATACGAAAATCAGCATCGAGTATTACCATAGGTAAAATAAATGATCCAGTTTTGGTGATATTCAATGCATACAAAACTGATATAGCTTCACCGCATTTATTAACCAAAGCAATAGTAGCCGATGGAATAGAAGTGCGACAATTGTTATATGATATTACTAACACAAGATTTAATTGATTGATAGTAGGTGCAGAAAGTAAGGACCTATAGACATTATTCGATTCGCGTATAATCCGTTGACTTAGCATTGTATGGTATGCCGATGCAGTCGATATGTTCGAAGTTTCTGGAATAGTTATCTTGATAGTATGAGAGTATGATTGATTGCTTAAAAGATGTCACAAACAAGAACGTGTATTTTTGATGATATACAATTTTAAAAAGATCCCAGCAGCAACTAGCACTGCAGCAGCTGATACTCCATTGAGATCAATTAAATGGAATGAATCAAAAGTTGATGTGAAAAGAACTCTTATAGATGTTAAATCAATATGTATGTGAGTGATATTGAAATCGACAGCAAATATTCTATTAATCATGCCTGGCCCGGTAATACTAAGTAATAACTTTTATGGAAATAAATGATGAATAACAAAGAGTGTTGCTCGATTAACATCTCGGTATGTATTTAACCCAGTTGTTGATTCACAAGGAGCTGTAGCTAGATCATCATCTATTGAACCATCTAGTATTTTATCGATATCTCTTTGTTGCTGACGCTTTCCAAATACTGATGTTCTACCAACAGAAAACGAGAAAATTTGGAATTTTAGTTCAATAGCATGTGCGAATACTTTCAGTTGAAGATAAACATCTTTAGCTGATGCATCAGTATACGTGTTAATAATTGAATTTATTTCACATACTTGAAGAGCTTTGTTAGCGCCATTATAGTATAATTCAGGTTCATCACCATCATCAACAGTCATGTTCGTCATTTTATCTGGAAAAAAAACTCAACGTCAGTTATAATTATTAGTGGATCCCATTCAGGACCATTAAATGGTAACAAAATATAATTTGCAGATCGAAATAATGAATTATCGTCACCTGTAAATTCTATTATACCAATAACTATTTTTTTAACTAGTTCAATAACTGGCGACATATTGCCAGTCGTACCAATTGCAATACCAAGACTGTTTGAATGCAAACTTAAAAATTGACCAAAAGTATCATTAGTTACAGTTGACTACAATAATTCCAATCGTTGAATTATAGCAATAAGAGTAATTTTAACTGCAAGGATATGAAATGATCCATGATCAGAATTTTCATTATATTTGTTAATATCGAAACCTAGAGCATCTGTTTGAGTTGTTGGATCAAGTAGACCACCATGACTACATTTACCTTTCAATTTGAAAGATCTTTAAGGAATACATATCAAACTATCCACTTCTCAAATATTGATCACTATAAGCCTTAGATAAAATATTTCTCTCAGCACAACTTTGTTCTGTACAATTGTCACAAGTATCAAGGTGCCATAGTACATATAAGACCGATGTTGTGCTGGTACCAATTGCTTGATTTGATATTTGCCATCCTAGTTCTATTCAATTCGAATGAGCATAAAAATCTTGTAATGTATGCATAGTTTGACCAAATGACTGACAAGCATCAATAACTGATAATAAATCAGATATTAATTTTGTTTGAACATCAGCAAGACGATTAGCAATAATTATTGATCCTTCAGTAAATACTTCATTATCAAGATGAGTGAACGGTAAGGTGAATTCTTCCAATTTAACAGGTATATTAGATGTACACACAAGATTAATATCAGAAGGAAGTGTCGAATTTATACCTAATTGACGACTTTCTTATTGAATTTGATTAAACATTGTTTCAATATCTTCACACAGTTCGATGCTACTAGTTCAATCATCAATATTAGTAGAACTATGAAATGATTTGAGATATTTTGCTGCTGTTATTAATAGAGCATATTCAATTAAACCAAAATGTGTCGTTTTTCCATGTTTCGACACACCTGAATTGAAGCTTCTACTGCTTTCAAACAATGATAATCCTACTAATGTTAATACTAAAATTGATGGATATATCAGTTGTGAGAAACCGACTCACTTTAATGTACATATAGATATCTATGTTTTATTTCCTGATTAAGTTTCAGTGTATTCAATAAATAATTACAATTTTCTCTGAAAGTTTCATAATTCTGTATATTTTTTTTTTACAAAATCAGCATATCTTTGTCATTCGCTATTTTTGTTACATAAAGACTGGTAAATAATTAAAGTTAATGTAAACTAGAAAGAGAAATATAACGGTTGGTAATTCGAGTTTCAACATTTACACTTATTAGATAATCTATTCATTCTTAAGAAATTTGTTTTTCTATCATTACAAATCTTACGGTCTATGGCAAAATCATGATTGGTTTTAATCGAAATTTTGATATTGTCTATTGATCTTCTTCAATACTCTACTTCTTAAATGTTTCAATCAAGAAATGAATAGCATACTTTTAAACTTGAAACTTTTTTTGGCATACAAAGTTGAAATTTTGATATTATCCTTACATAACATCCCTCCTTCTACATAATGGCTAATAATTTTACAATAAAAGAAATTAGACAACAGCAGAACAGTACAGAAGTAATATATGAAGGTTGTATGGGATTTCCGTGCTAATAGCATTAGCATCCATTTTTTCCTCGAGAAAAAGTTTAAGTAATCAATTTTAACAGTATTAAGCATTTCGCAATGAAAAAGATATAATAAACATCAATTAGAACTCTACATTTTGAAGAAACTCTAGGGGCCATATGGATAATTGCTTCAGATATTATATGTATGCATCAAACTTCAAGTATGAGGCACGCTTTCGTATTTTTCTCACACTCACTCACTGTCTTCTTCTGACCTTTACAGAAAGTGCAGGAAACGACATGATTTCGTTTATATGATATATCAAAAAAAGCTATCCTCAGAGTTTCTAAGAAAAGTGGAATATCATTTCATATATATTATATTTTTAAAATGTCACTTCTATTACTTCTTTGTCTATTAAACCTCTTTATGCTTTTATCGGATGGTATTGACATTGAATTTCATTATCTTCTGTGATGGCTAGATCGTTTTTTTTAATTTTGATTAATATTTTCGTATTTTTCAAATATTAATCTTGCTCTCATTCATTTTTTTCTGGATTATTCTTTTTCTTTCAGTAATTTAAGAACAATTACTTTATACTATGAAGTACGAGTAAGTTATCAGATGTTCTACGTGTCTAAATTTTTGAAAGTAATGGTACAAATATATTATATCTAAAAAGCTAAAGATCTTACTTTGATTAAGATAAAATAGTTAATTGACAGTTAATCTTATTTAGACGCGTTTGTAAATTTAATATTTGACTACTATTCATTTGAAAAAAAGAAGAACTGTGAGTATTTTCTGAATAAATTTTAATAGAAACATGATAGAAAGCTATAGTTATAAACATTACAAACAGATAATCTAGACGCAAAAACACTGCAGGAAATTTGATGGATCAGAACTGAACTAATCAGATCAATTCTTGATGAACAATTCACAAGCGATATTCTGAATTCATTTTTTAGCAGATCTTACCTGTTAATATGAGCAATAGATAGAAAAAATTATTCTCTTTCGATCTATGTAAGTCCAACATTACTACCTTGTTGCGTCTTTGCCACTATGAATCTACTTAATATACGATGGTAATGGAAAATCATCACTATGTCATTTATTAAAATTATAATCAAATAAGCAAAGATAATTGCTTAAATGCTTATTAGATTGTAAACGACGATAGATAAGAGCCAAATGTGTTATATGAATCACTTATTGTTGGTTGACAACGAAATTTAACTGGGTAGTGTTGTCCTGTCACATAAAAACAAATATATACGATGATTATCATTAATTATTAAGTGTTGACTATGTGCACTCCAAGTGTCTATTAATAGTTTAGATAATCGAATACTCATTTCAAGATCTAAACCACGGTTAATGACATCAATAACAATCGTACTCAATAAAATAAATCTATTATCTGAACGACGAAAGAAAAATACTTCATAATAATGATCATTTAATCGTAACATATTGGATATTGATTAATTGAAAGTGTAGACTTTAAAAGATTTTGAAATATTTTAAGTTTGTCTAAATGAACAGTAACAGCAGTATTACTTTTGTTACCATTGTTATTTTTCTTTGTAATTGGTGATGATTCAGGTCGAGAAACACGACAAAGGCGAAGAAAGTTGTCAATATTAAATTTTTCTAATTCTACAATAGGATTTTTAGTTTCTGACACAGAGTGATTACGAACATCACGAGTATCTAAACGACATTGTATGAATACTTCCTAATAATGCTAAACTATTTGTACAAAGAAAATTAAGATTACAATTTTCTTTTAATACTAAGTAATATTCCATTTAAAAGTAACATGAGTATCAACATATAATCAGAACAAATATTATCTAATTAATTTTAATCTAAAAATAAATTAGCTGAAAAAAAAATAGTTTCATAGAAGTGAAAACCTATTTTACTTAGAAGCATAAATTAAAAATAATTTTTATAAATATTTTATTAGACTTTTTTAAAAGCAAAACCTAGCATCTCATTATTCAAAACAGTTGAAAATGATTGACTTTAATCAATATTTATGAAGTTTAATTGAAAATTGAGTTTGTAAAGCATGAAAGAACAAAGGGTTTTTCTTTTGTTTCAAATTTTTATTTACATACACTGTGGCGATTGTTCTAAGATAGTAAAATCTCACTGAGATTTCTACATCAACTAACTTCGAAAACTAAATTAGAAATTAAAAATTTGTAAAAACATCTCCTTTTTGTTCTTCATACGTAGTACTTTTACTCATTGCTTTCGTCGGATTTTCAAACTATTTTCAATTTCTTTGATGATTGTTTCTTCATGTTGTTGAATTTTAGTAATTAAATAATTAATAGTATCACGAATACGTTGAAGAGTTTGTTGAGAAACACGTAAAAAACCATTATTAATTTCATCATGGTTTGTTGTCTGAGAAATTCGACATTGTTTTAATTATTGTGTAAGATTATGCATTTGTTGTGTAACTACTCTTCAGTGTTTAATAATGAAATATTTCACAGAATGTTGCATTATAATAATTGAGATAAATGACATGTGTCATAGAACTACATTGTGAACACATTGCAGATGAAGAATGATAATGAATAGAAATATTAGTAGTTCCAGTATTCATTGTTACCAATTGGTGTAAGATTTATTCAAAAATTGTTGAAATAAAAGTTCCATAAAAAATTTATTTTTGCTGTGTACATTGTTTTTCTTCCTGCATTCTTTGATTAATAATCGATGACTAATGTTTTAGTCTTATACTATATGATTTATAATTCTTCTCGTTAATTTTCTAAGATGGTTACAGAGGTAGTATATAAAACAAAGGATTATCAACAAGAACGATTAGCAATTTTTTTATTTAATTAATAAATATTCAGTTTAGACATATTTTCATCTTTTAGAAAGAATAAGTTACATGGGATTATTTGAATAATAAAAAAAACGATCAGAAAACAAAATGTTAAGTTTTCTTTTAATGAAAAAATGCGAATTCAAATACAGATCGTGTTTGTTGTGCTTTTTCATCTGTATCAGAAATAGTTTTTTTCCGTGGTGGCATTTTTTTGTCTGTTGAATCTATTGTGTCAATTGTTGGTGCTCTTGGTCGTCTATGTTTTTTTCCAGGATAACTAACGGGAGGCGACTTTTCGGATGGACTAGGTTTCCTATAATGTGCTATTGATGATGATCGGTGACGCGAAGGTGAATCGCCATGACTTCCATCAGTTGTTTTTACATTTAAAGCTTTTTGCATCCAATGTAATACCGAATGACTACGTTTTCTTGGCGGTGTCTTAAGTAAATAAATAGACTAAAACATATAACATAACTATGATTTTAAGTACTATCTTACGGCTGTAAACGATGATGATGGTTGCGACATATCATTTTGGTCTATATCATGCAATGGATGAGACACATGCTCATCAGTTAACTGACTTGATGGATCATGTATATGATGTATAGCCATATTGGTTTGTAAATTCACGTTTCTAGATCAACTATTGTAAAAAAAGTAGTTTATTAAAAAAATAAGAAAAAGCTGACAATATTATCTCTATATATACTTAGATAAAAACATGAGATATTGATAAGCATATGACAAAGTGTTACATGTCTCTACGTTTAATAATATGAAAAGACACTTTGTTTTTTTCTCCATATGATAATAAAGAATAAAGGGCGTCTAAACAAATTTTGATATCCTTTCAAGTCATATTCTTTTCTTCTATGTTTTTTGAATAGAATAGGATGATATTTACAGCATATATACTAGACATTTGTATTTATTCTACAATAGAATTTGAACTTTGTACCTCGTACAAAGACACAGATACAAGTAACGCCAAATTCACAGAAGCTTTTTCAATAACTTTTACGAATAGCATGAATTAACGAAAACTTTTAGTTATTCGACCAATCTCCCATAACGAGCAACTTTTAGTTTTCTGCGTATTAGTCATCTGTTCAGTCATTTATTCACGTGATTATCAACAGCTTAGTACCAGTTTTTCAAGATGATCAGAATAGCAAACATCGAACAGTTATGATGAATACTATTGAATCTTTATTTGACGAATGCATTGATCCTCAGGTAGACGATGCAAAAATTTGCTGATATTTTACCAGTCGAAATAGTTTGGAGTGCAATAAAAGATAAAGTGAGAGAAAGAAAGCTTTAGAAATGAATCAGAGTTGCAAAATTAAGTAGGATAAGAATAACAAATGTCGACTACTGCAACATGTGACCGAATGATGAAAAAATTACGGAGTTGATTGAAACAAGTAATAGATCGATATAGAAAGCAGATACATAAACATTGATGCGTATTTGTTTTCTTTTTGTGTTTAAAGCATTTCAATTTGTAAATCCAATTCAAACAACTAATCTTTTTTTATTTAGTATCGCTAATAAAACGGTGAAAAACGGAATTTTACAAAAAATTCAATTAAACACAAATTGTAGCGTAGAGTAAATCTTGATATCTATCAAATATACTATAAATATCAGCCAATTATACTGGAAAAATATATAAGAAAAGAATATTATTTGAAAGGGGATCACGACTTATTAGATACTCATTAGTGAAAGTTACGAAAGAATATTTGGACCTAATATTAAAAGTAAACATGATGATCAATTTAATAAATGAAAGGAAATGAGCGATATCTACTGGTAAGCGTTTTATTTGCTTATTAAGAACTTCCAACAAATATTCATTCGTTATTCATCAATCTATTCTTTTTTTATTATTAACTATGGGTGCAAGTCGTAAAACCCGAAAAGTAAAATATTCATCTCAAAATTCACATCGACATTATGATCAACAAAAATATTGGAATGATCGTTATACAGCTAAATTTAAAGGAAAAACTATCGATGAAGATGATGATCATACAGATGAATGGTATTTTTCATATTCAGATATTTCAGATGTATTAAAATCCTATATAAAACAATATCATCTTCATTCTCCTGTACTTGATATTGGTTGTGGTTTATCAAAAATATTTGACGAACTTTCCAATGATCATTTTATTGGTCCATTTATTGGTGTTGATTACTCTCCTATTGTTATCAAACAATGTAATAAGATGAAGAAAAATAATAATTCTTATTATTTAACCGTAGATATGATGCAAAAACACAAACCTTCTTTACCAATCAATTCATTTGGTTTAATAATTGATAAAGCAACAACAGATGGAATTCTTAATAATAATGAGCATCTATCTAGTATTTCAACTATGTATGAACATGCATCAAATGTTCTTTTATCGAATGGACTTTTTATTATTATTACAATTAAAACAATTGATGACAAAGAATGGTTTGAAGATTGTTTGATACCATCTCTTATTCGAGGTAGTCAAAATCAGCAAACAAAATTTATTATTCATTTTCATCGATGTATGACATATACAGATGGAACTGAAAATGGTCCAAATATTTTTGTTATTGTTAAATACGATTGTAAATCGTATTCATTACGCTCATCAACAAATCAAGTAAAACAGGGATTATCTCAAACAGTAACTGTTAAATGTTACTAGTCATTTTATAAAAAAATACAAAACACAACGAGAAAAATATTATTTGGTTAATAACTGAATTTCATTGTTTTCATTATGATTTTAATTTTAAAAATAAAATATCAGTCATATCACAGGTCTACATAAACCTAATTTGCGTACACCTCACTTATTCATAACAGGTTATGAACTTCTCAAGTCAACATGTACTGGTGCACTCTGTTTTGTTAGTCTTACTTGTCTCTCTATTACAGCATGTATATTTATTTTCTTATATACTAATGTTCAGATGATAATTGGATGGAAGTAGAATATTATCGTCAAATGCAAGTACAGAAATTATTTATACCGAAATAAAATAGCTGAAGGATATATTTGTTGATTTAATACTAAATGCATTTGCTAGAAAGAAACAAAAAAGAAAACATTAGCATTTTATAAACTTGTATTTTTGAGCAAGAACATTTTGAATGTACATATGCGATAAACCAATAGACAAGGACATATAGTCTTGTCATATGACGACAAAATAAGTTTAAATTAAGTAATATTAGATTTCGTCAATGGTTCATATAAGTTACTAACAATCATAGATAAGAAAGTGCTAACAGTTATTAATGAAAATCGGTAAAAACACTTAATACCGAAATGGACAATAAGCAATGCAGTCACAAGTTTATCGTTACTCATCATTGTGTTCAGTCAAATACACGATGAAAAAAATTCTTATCTTTCAGCGGCAAAGTTACACCATTGATTTGTCTGAGATTTGGATCTGGCTTACGGCAGGCACAAAAATCAGAGCTTTTAATTGTCCTGGACAGACAAATGAGCAAGTTCGACAGTTTGTTTTGACATCTGATTCATAAGCATTAATAAAAACAGAATTTTATATTTTTTATACATTCAACATATAATTTAGTGTTACATATCGCTCTTGTTGCTCAATGTTCTTCAAATAAAATCAAGTTTTCAAAGCCTTCTATTAAATTGAATTTGGATGGTTTCATTATGATAATAATGATGTATTTTGTCAATACTGTGTTCACAAAAATATATTCAAAATAACAGCTGATGATTTATTCTTTCAGAGCGGTGAAAAATATGATATTAACTTGACTTATGTTGACATCGATTTTTGTTTTAGTTGCTGGATAGAATAATGATTAAAAGAGAGTTTGAAATAACTGTACATGAGCTTGCCATCGAATGTGAAAGTGTAGTTTAGCAATAGGCGTTTCTGAAAAAAGCACATATACGCATTATATCGAATGCTAATAATTTTTTATATAAGGAAGGCTTTACTCTAAAAAAAAATTTCAATTCCACTTAAGTTTTTTTTTCTCAGAAAACAAAACTTGTCAATGTTCAGTTTCCTTGCTTATTTTGATGCGGCTGTGAAAAATACGATCAATATTTAACCTATTACCTTCCAATGATTATTGAAGTGACTATTTATAAATTGATTACAAAAAAAAAACTAAACGATGCATAGAATTTCACAGCGTCAATAACTTGTATTGTAATAGACTTCATTAGCTATCGATTGTTAAAAATGAGTATTTCATTCCATCTTCAAAATATCACACTAATAAAATCGGTAATTTTGAAAAAAAAGGAAAAAAATTGAATTCTTTTTGAACAAATTATTCTCTACCATCAATAAGTAAAAATATTTAGGACTTGTTTTGTGAAATGAAGAGGCCTGCTAGTGATTAATATAAGTTTCAAAGATTCTGCGATAGGTTAGCAAATCATGAACAATCAAAAATAGAGTTAATGGATATATTGTAAATTTCATCACATGAGAAGTTGAAATAATAATATTTTCAGTAGTTATACGATTCCTCAAATGCAAATAGGTGACTATTGGACAATATTTCAAATGTATTCACTCGCTTCTCGAATACCATGGATTATGAGCTGCTTTTAGTCATTCAATACTGCTATGAAAGAAAGAAAAAATTAGGTCTCCTCTTTTCTACTACATATTCACTCGATTAACCCAAGGGAGACACTCGATGCATACAACTACACCATTAGCACATCTGAGTGACTAATACTCTATTTATAAGATTTTATAATGAGTAGTTTTTGTGGGATCGCTGTAGAAAGTACAGAATTGAGGTTATTACTAAATTGATTGAGTAAATTTTTCTTATTTTCTGAAATTTTTTCAAGATTATTACACAACATGAAGACTAAATGTCGAAAGCTTTGGTTTTTCTACTAATTTAAATTCAAAGTTTTTTGTTTTTAATAAAATATTCATTATTCTTAATGAAAACTTTATTCTACAGTAAAGCATGTATTTATCCAAACAGAAAAATAATAATAAGATCTATCTACATGAATAATGAGATAAATAGAAAAGAATGTAGCATAAATTGAAAATTGTTTTGATTATCATTTTTAAGCAAACAAATTGAATATTGCAACTATAACAAAAACAAAACCAACAAGTATACAGAAAAAGAAAAACCGATTTTAAGATGTACAATATGTCAATATTCTTTGAATTTTGCTTGTTATCACTGTCTAGGACGATTCGTGTTGAAAGACATTATCAGTCGTACAAAAGCAATAGCAAATAAACAATGTACATAAAGCACAAGTAGAGAATAGGAATGTTGAAAATTTCGTTTCATATTTTTTTCGATTTGTTCAACTCAATTTAAGAATGTCATCAAATAATGCTTTTGCTGTACGAGCGATACTAACAGCATGTTCATTCATTTTATTATAATTTCGTTGTCGAGCAGTTTCAATTAATGAAACAACTAAAGTTGAAAAATGATTATAACGCTGTTCGGACTAAAAATTAAAATTGTAAATATTTTAATTCAATAAAATATTAGAAAAGAAAGTATTAACCATTTCTTTAATTGATGTTGGTGCATAATCAAGTGTTTGTAAAAGATCACGAACAGCAATAGCAATATTTTTAACTAATTGTATTTGTTCTTTATCATTGGTTGGTGATAATGAACGATTATATTTTGATGATATACCATTATTAATATCCGCTTCATTTTGACGTGTTAGTATCAATACAGCACTAACAATTTGTTTTGTTTGTGAATGAAATAAATCAATTAATACTGGTGATGGCATTGGACATGGTTCTTTAGATTTTGTTGGTTTAAAATCTTGAAAATCTTTATTATCATAAAATGATAGCTAAAAAGAAAATAGGAAAATTTTAAAGTATACTTAAGTTATTAAGAAAAATTACTGTATTTCCAGTAGAACTGCGATATTGAAGATTATGACTAGATTCACTTCGTCCTGTAGTTATCTTGTTATTACCGACTAAATGAATAAAAATAAACATATGTATATATTAATGACCTATATTAAATTGTTTCCCAATAAGAAAGAACTATGCCAAGTGTTCGCATCAAAACTTAAATGCAGTTATGAACAAATATTCAGTTCAAGACGTTCTATCAACGCAAACTTTCTGATATTATGTGAAAAAAAATCAAGTTCATTTATTGTCAGAAAACAAGATTTACACAGACAGTGGATGAATGAAGAAATTAGCGTGAAAATGACAATGCTGAATTCTTCACTTTAAGCCTATCGAAATCAGTTGTAGCACGTAGACTAGAGGTTCCGACATTGAATGAAGTCTCTTATGAATGAATTGCTCCAACGGATGAATTGCCATTGATTCGAGAGTATAGTCCGTCGAATTCGTTCCGAACTCGAATCTGGTTGGATCTGGTTCTCAAAATTTGAGACTCGACAAGATCTAGTCGTCTGAGAAATGTGCAAGGTGTACTCGAAAGCAAACATGAAAAGTCAGAAAAAAGTATGTCACTTTTTGAGACGACTATACAATTTCGATTAGAAAGTACGATTGAGTGTCAAAGTATGGTTCAACCGGCCCCGAAAATTTTGAATTCGAACGGCTCTAGTCGAAGCTATGCGCATGATATAGATTCAAACAAACTGTAAATACTATGAAAAGAGTTCGTGCTCCTAGTTTATTGCTATTGAAATACTGCATTTTTACAATATTTTTAAATGAATGCTGTGGTCCCCTTTAGAAGCACTAGAAAAAGTTGGTGTTCGAATCTTGACTCAAAACTTCGCATAGAGACAGTTCTTAAAGCGAATAACTATTTATGAATGTTTTAGATCTTGTCGTTGTTCTTATCCTAAGATACAGCTATGATAACAACGTGTCTCTTACATTGCTCTTATAAGTCATGAGACTCGATGTTCTTATTTTAAGCTAGATGCAAATCAAAAGATCTGAAAATTTTACAAAAAACTATTCTTGTTAAGACTGGCTTCTATAGTAAGCTTAAAATCAAAAATCAGTTTGTCTAGTGTCCCTAAAATGGATCATGACATTTCATGTACAAGGTATCATAAAACTACAGTAAGAATATTCGCATATTTTGCTTGCGCTCAGCACATGCCTACTCATAGAATTCGCTAACATATACATATATATATATGCTAAGTTTTGAATTTAAACTAACTTGGTAATCGACTGCCTGTAAATTCATTTTTATTGGGCAACGCTGGTTTAGGTGGTACATTATCATCTGTTAATGATAATAAGAGTGACGCAGACACTGTTAATGATGTATTAGATTTAGATTTTAATGCCATTTGTTCATTAGAATATATTCGATCTTTAAAATGGATATGTGAATTACTATTTAATCGTTCTTCATTTAATATCGATCTTAAAAATAAAAAAAAAAACAAATATTTTACTATTTTTTTTTATAATTAATTTTAAATAACGGGTTTTACTTTAGACGCGATTCAATATGAAGAAATGATGGCCGATTTGTTGGTTCATATGACCAACATTCTTGTAATAAATCAAATAAACGTTTTGGACAATAAGCACCGGGTAATGGTAATCGAATACCATTTTCAATTTGATCGATAACGTCTGTATTAGCAACACCTTGAAATGGTTTTTTACCCATTGTTAAAATTTCCCACATACAAACAGCAAACATCCATACATCAGATAAATGAGTAAAACGACGAAAATTTATCGACTCAGGTGCCATCCATTTTATTGGTAATTTACCTTTGGATGCTAAAAGAAAATAGATCTTCTTATAAAAAAGACTTTTTTTTAATTTAATTTTATTACCTTTATAATATGAATTATCAACTTTTAATTGTCTTGAAAGACCAAAATCAGCCAATTTAACCGATTCATGGTTCGATACAAGAACATTTCTGGCAGCAATATCACTTTTGAAACGAAAAAAAGACAGGTTATGTTTATGTTTTATCTGAATTTTTGTTACCGATGAACAAATTTTTTTGATTCAAGATATGCAAGTGCGGATGCTAATTGTTCACAATATAGCACTAATGTTATCACATCAAAATCAGAACGATTCGCAACTAAATAAGCTCTAAGCTAAACAATCAAAAGTACTTTAATTAAATTAAAAAATAAATAAATAACAATATTCAAACTTCGCCTAATCTTGCTAGTTCCATAATAAGTAAAACAGGTTGTTCAGTACAAACACCAATGAGTTTTATAATATGCGGATGATCAAATTTTTGCATTACATCTTAAAAATAGAAACTATTAGCACAATCCTTACAGAAATAAAATGTGAAACACACTAAAGCTGTTGTTACTAATCACAAGAACATTGTTTTATTGTATCTATTTTGCGACAAACTTTTTCACTGTCGTTCTACGTAATCTTGCAAAAATGCAATGAGTAGTTAACGAGACCTTATTGATATATGATCTGTCATTGTTTACCAATAACGTGCGCTATAGGTTTTAACGTTAGAAGATAGTCTTGCTAAGACATTTGATATGGCCTATGATCATATATCAATAGCATCTGTCGTCCACTGCCACGCTAAGAGTGTTTGCCACATCTACGATGTGTCACTTCTAATACAGCTATCATGATCTGTCGGTCTCATCTGTCATTATATGTGCGAGGTATAAATTTCTACTCTATATGCTTCAGCACTTCTTTCAGATCATGTTTCACAAAAACAAAATATTGAATTAATTTCATATGAAAAGCATGACTTACAAGCTTCTTCTAAAAATGCTTCTGTCGTTGCTGCATCTTGCATTTTACATGTTTTTATGGCAATATTTATTTCTAATTGTTGATCAGTCTAAAATTAATATAAGAATATAAAATATTAATTAAATTAAATTGATTTAATTTATTTTACTTTAAGTATTCCACGATAAACTTCACCGAATTGACCATTACCAAGTGATTCAATCATATGTATTTGTTTGCGATCGATTTGATAATCTGATGCTAAGACGTCAGCATAATCTCCATTTGAATCATCATCATCATCGTTATCATCATCAACTAAAAATCAATAAGAATTATTATTACATAATTCATCATAAAGATAGTACTTTGTGATGATGTGGTATCTGATGGATGAGGAGCAAGAAAAGGAGGTGGCGATGATGCAGATGAATATTGATCGTCAATCATTGATCGCCAAAGTGAATGTGTACTTCGATTAACAAGCATACAATAACCATCAATAAGAATAGCTACATCATTGGCATCAGAAAGAGATGAAAACCTAACTGTTAAAGTCTAAATAAATTTTTTTTCGTATAATTTTAAGTTAGATAAAAAATAAAAAGATTAAAACCTCTGATGATCCAGCAATAGTTAATTTAAGTAAACCACGTTCATCTGAATTTGTTTTTGTTGTTGCTATTGAAAGAACATTTTCAAAAGAAGCCATTTTAGTTAACTATATATATAGAAGTATATGTAATTAAAATAATAAAATAACAAGAAAATGATATCGAATTTTACGTTAGTGGAATTTTGAGTTCGATAACTGATACCATCTGACGGACCGAGAACAAGACTAATTGGAACCGCCCATTCAGCCTAAACAAAAATATTTATATAATTTATTTAAACAATTTACTGTAAAAACAAATTAATGATATTATTCAAGCTCAAAATCAATAATTCAACGTAGAAAAAGCATATGAAAATATTTGTAGGCATATCCTGAGGTCAGGAGGATTGACAAAGCTCACCCGCTGACGATACACATGAACATCGATCGGTAGAACTACTGCTAATGTCGAATCGTTCTTCGACTGAAATGATCTTCATTTGATAAGTATCCAAGAATAATAGAGAAGTCTACAATACTTTGGTTTTCCGGATCTTCGTTCTTTTGATATCAAAATTTTACTAAATTTTTCAACAAGAAGCTGTGTTTCACTCATATCACATAGAAAATCGACTTACGACTTCAAACTTACAGCGAGAACACTTCTCAATGAAATTAATTCATTGAGCTAGTTGTAAACTTTCTAATATCTCCTGTCCTGAGGTTAATTCAAACAAATCTACTTACACCAAGATTACATGTATATATTTCTTGTTGCCAATTCCAAGCATCTTTGAGTAAAGAACAAAAACGTTTAACACATTCTTCTTCTGCTAAACCTTCATATTTTTTCAAACATGCTTTAATAGATTTTCGGAGAAGTTTTGGCTTAAAAATAGAATTAATTCAAATAATTTCTTAAAAAAAAAATTTTATAACAAACTTTATGAGAATCAATAACAGATTGTGGAAAAAATCTTTTTAAACCAAGTTCTTTTTCCAAATAATCAACGTTTACTTTTTTATCTAATGCTGTTGGATTAAGATCTTTGAAAAGTTTACGAATTTCAAGTGAACCTAATTCAATAGCATCATTCACTGGTACATGTTCAGATTTTAAACGCATATAATCAATACGAAGCTATATGAAATAATATTAAAATTGTATATTCAAACATAATGAAAGATATACTTGTTCATAAAAATATCCAAATGTTGGTTTGTCATGTGATAGAGCATCAATTGATTCTGGAAAATATCGCAGACGAAGTTCAAATCTAAACATTGTTTGAATAAAAACTAAAAATTTAATTTATCTTCTACTTTAAGTCTTCAATAGGTCCATATAGTCGTTGTACTTTATCCATGGTCATATTTGGATGAAGCCATTTATCTGTCACATTCGTTTTATCTGACGAAGATGTTATTCGTAGATTTGCTATTTCTTGTTCTTTACCAACATGTGTTACACGAAGTGCAAATGATAAACGATAAAACAGTTCACAAGATGAAAGACGACCTTTCAATACTATTCGAATGAGTTCCTAAAAAAGACAACAAAAACAAATTCAATGAGAATAAGGATTTTTTTTTGTCATGTATTCATACAGCAACAGTTGTCGATGATGTATAACGAATACCATGAAAAGAACCATTGGGAAAATACACTTTAAGAAATGTACTCTTATCCATATTTATATCAGCATTACCAATGCCGATAAAGATTGAAGGATCGATCGATGTATCTCAGATTTCTATTCGTTCTAAACATAAACCATTAAAAAAACAAAACTGTTCATACTATGACCTCTATCGATTAATCATTTAATACGTTTCTAGTGACTAAATCGTATTTTACTACTTATCTTAGTGGCATTAAATTGATTCCATTAGGTTGTTTTTGTTTTTTTTTGAAATTTGATCAAGCTATGATTGTAAGTAGGATTCTTATCAGATCATTCAAACAAAAAAAATCTCATGTAAGTAAAAATTAAATAATTCTTTGATTTATTAGTTAATGAGACTCGTTTAAAAGATGTTTCATTGCTTAGTATGGTGACATCAAATTTGATAATCCTCATTATAAAAAAAAGTGTTCAATCTTTCGATATGATATAATGTCAGAATATGCAATACTTCAATACAGAGAAACATCAACTTTTATGTTTTCATTTATTCACTGTGGAACACCTGCTAAATAAATAATCTAGTAAATCGATACTCATAAATTCTTCCTAGATTTGTCGAACACTTTGTTCAGCTCAAAGATCAAGTGCAATGCCACATGCCGAAAAAGCACATTCAGTCTCAGGTGTCCGTAGTGTATTTAATGGTATTGGATCTCAAACAATGTTTGCTGCACAAACTGGATTTATACCAGACCTTACTGCAGGAGAAATTCTTGTCAAAGTAATTTAACAAAAGAGTATTGTTGTTTATTCGTTGTTGGTTATTAAGGTTCGTTTAGCGTCAATCTGTATGAGTGATGTACATACGATTACAGGTCAGCGTATTGAACCGACACCAAGGTAAATAATAATATTTTCAATAGCTTC